TTGGGAATGTTTTCCAACCTAGAAATAACATTGCCTTTTCTGTGTCTGTAAACTCTGGTATTTTCTGTGGGATTTTTCTTTGGGGATGGTTCTGCTACCGCAAGACCATCATGGGGCACTGCAGAACAGGACGCCATCAGTAAGTGTTTGGATGATATTATAGCTGATGTCCCTAATGGGGTGACACAGGCCCGACAAGTTCATCTGCTGGCGAAGTGTCACTGGGTACTTGGCTGGGAGGAGTACCAACCGGATGATATAGCTGATATCCCCAGGAAAGTAAAGTGTATTGATGTAGAGATGGAAAACAAGATTTAGTTGTACGGGATAAAGTTGTTTATCACTTATCTGCTGTGTGGTGCAGCGGTAGCGATCTCGTCTAGCAATCTTGCTGACCTGCGTTCGAATCCCTCGCCACCAGTGGATGGTAACCCCGGCCATTCCTTGCGCACAGGGGATAATTTAAAAGCAAAATAAAACAGACAGTATGTCACACCAAGAATATCCATTGTAACAAATGGAATCAAGTTAAATTATTAATTATTATTATTATTATCGAAGTTACTGATACACAAAGGGTACCAAATTTATGCTGACAACTTCTCATCAGTATCTGTGGCAAAAGAGCTGCTTGGTAAAGGTATAGGGTATTGTGGATCAATTTGTCAAAACAGTCGAAAAGAACTAGGGTTATTACCTAATAAGCAGCTGACTCAAGGCCAATGTGATTGGGCTATGGATCCTTCTGGCATATCATGCACAAAATGGATGGATAATAGAGCTGTCCTGATTCTTTCAAACATGCATGATCCATCATTGACAACCTGAATTCGTTGCCGCAGTAAAGATGGCAGCACAGTGAATATTAGTGTACCTGTTGTTGTAGCTGATTATAGACGTCACAAGAGCTATGTTGAAAAAGCAGATATGATGAAGTCTTTATACGAAATCGATCGCAAATCAAAGAAATGGTGGCACAAAATTTTCTTCCACTATGTTGACGTTGCTGTTGTGAATGCATTTATTATTTACAAGCATTTAATGCCCCAAGAAAATATTGAGCTCAAGGCCTTCAGAGGAAGACTCATTACTGGATTGATTGGAGCGCATGGAATGGAAGAAAGAGAAAGGAAAAAAGCAACCTATGGAGAAACACCATAGGTATAAAGAATGCATCCCCAAGGAAATTCGCCTTGACCAGTCAAAACATATGCCGGAATATAGACTCTATTTTACACGCTACAGCCACTGTAGCACAAAGAAAGAGTCACATAGAACTAGGTGGCTGTGTGCAACATGTAAAGTTCCTTTATGTAACAACAGTGCTAGACAGTGTTTCTCATTGTATCATGTGTAAAAAGACAGTGTGCTCTGTAGGTCGACGTTTTTCTTTTTTCTATATAGAGAGGAACGAAGGATAAGTTCAAATGTGTAGTAGCATCACATGAAATGGATACTTATTTGTAAAAAAAAGACCTATATATATTTGT